AAACCTGCCTGGATGTCAGGCACTGAGACAAAGAGGACCTGCTCTGACTGCTGAGCTGTTGCTGAAACCTGGAACTAAACGCTATTTCTGACATTTTGAATTGAAAAATCTTCCTGGATGGAAGAGAAACGTCTTCAAACTTGGAAACAAAGTCCAGTGGATTGATTTTAATTTTCTTTTTTGGAATAATAATATAAAGGAGGATCTCATGAGAGGCTGATAAACTCCAAACAGTGCACTTCCTGAAGCTCCCCATTCCTCTCCACAAAGACATCTCAACAAATTATTCACTTTTTTAAATTTTTTAAAAACTCATTCTATTTGTTGTTTCCGACTAAATTTTTCATCAAAGATGACAACTAAAAACCTCCCTTTATTCACTTGTTCAATCTTCTTAATATAAAGTGTAAATTAAATCTCTTATGCCTTCTAGAAAAACTAATAATTTGGGACTTTTATTTGCCACTGCGGTGACATTATCTAATGTATAGACATTCTATACCTAGACGCCTCATTGGATGCTGCCGGCAGCGAGGCAGGCATGCCTACAGGGCGGCCATCATGGATCAGACCACAGTTCAGACAGCTGCTGTCAGAATAAATAGGTGCTTTAGGTCTCATTTTAATAACATGAAAGACGAGTCAGCGATAATATTACAATAATCTCTGTCATGTTACAACCCCTTAAAAAATCAAAACTAATTTTAAAATTACGTTTCCGTTAGATTACACAGATTGATTCAGATTAAAATCCATTTAAACTCAAACTGGAGGAGCAGAGATAAGGGTGGCCAGGCAATAACCAATGTGCAATGAGGGGGGGCCTACTTGTATCAATAAACATTCTGCTTAAAATTTATATTTACAAGCAATAACATCTACATGAATTAATTATTTGAAAAGTTTTTATTAAAATTGTTATTTATCTTTGATTTCATTGAAAACTCCTAGATGACTCGCAGAGACGCATAACTTTCTCTTTACCCCATAAAACACTAAATCTAGTTCTGAAAAGAGCGTGAATTCTATATTTATCACCTTTTATGTTAGTATATTGATGTGTATAATTAACCACAAAAAATTTATTGTTTTGAATATTCCACTTGAGAGAATAACTGCTGCCACCATCTGAATGAGAGGGAAAAAATGGTAGAGGTGACCACGACCACGTCATAGAGAGCGTTCTCAATCAATCAATCAATCAACGAATCAATCAATCAATCAATCAATCAATCAATCAACGAATCAATCAATCAATCAATCAATCAATCAATCAACCAAATTTATTTGTATAGCCGTTTACAATAGCCAAATTTAACCCAAAGTGCTTCAGAACAAAGCCATAAAACAATACAGAACACATATAAAACATACAGATACAATTAAAAGTGCTGTAGTGATGCAGCGCAGCGTGTCCCGAGCCCGTGACATCATCACTGACCCCCCCACCATGGACTGTTCTCCCTGCTGCCCTCTGGGAAGAGGCTTCACAGCATTCAATGCAGGACCAGCCAGGATCCATCCATCCATCCATCCATCCATCCATCC